TTATCTCAACTCACGGGTTTTACCTTTTTTCTGACTCTCCTCCTCATCCCACCAGGGTGGGAGGAGTGAATGAGTGAGCAGCTGTGTGATACTTAGTTGCTGGCTGGAGTTAGGAATATAGGACACATTTCTTGCTGTATTTTTTTATAAATGACTGGACTGAGTTTAAAACAAGTGAAATAATCTTCCAGGCTTTATCAGTCAGAAAACATTAGGAATAACTTGTAGTGCTACTGTAGACTGGCAGGGGCTGGTGAAAACAAGTGAGGGTTTTTTGATCACAGTGAAACAGGCATGTGCAAACTTCATTGAATTGGGTGCAAATAAAATTACTGTGAGCTTTAGAGAGAGGTGGACTTCCGAGCACCTGCTGACAGATGAGGCTGCAAATAGACTGGCTCATTATCCAACATGTACCTTTAAACACTACATAAAATCTGTAAATTACTGGCAGCTTGTATAAGGAAGGTTGCTGTACTTGCAAGGTGTAAGGCATAGACCCTTCTTTCTGCTTATTTTTGTTTCTTGCCTAGGCAGTGTAGCAGCTGTGAATGAAGTAGTTGACACCTTTGGTGTGTAAGTGATTTGGGATTGCTGATGTGGGATTGTTTTCAGACAGTGCTGGAAGTCAGGTCCTTGTCAGTGGAAGTGATGTAATCACTTGCGTTGGGGTGTGTGTATGGGGGAGGTTGTATGTACACAACAAGAAGGAGGACCTTCCTTTTATCCCTACTTTGGAAGGATAACTCCAGCCCTCATCAGGATGTTGAACTGGAAAAAATAGGTAATGAAAGCACTTGCACAAGAATCGAAAACTTAATTTCTAAGCCCACTTCAGCCTGTAAGGGAGCCTGAACCCAAAGTTCTACTTGGGGAAGAATGTCCCCATCACCAAACTCCAGAATACTTGGAGCAGGTTGTTTGTTGAAGCTGTGCCTTATACCTTATAGGATCAGGATGGAGTAAGAAGGAATATCCTTGCTTTACAGGCGAGACAGAGCTGGAAAGATGGACAGAAAGGCTTTTTTATTTCTATGGATAACCCTAGGTTGTCATAGGTCTAAGCACTTCTGTTTAAAATTCACTGGATAAAATGCCTAAAAAAACATTTTTGAAGTGAAAAAGTAAATCCTATAATCTTCCTGTATAATAATATTTAAATATATGCTGATCAGGGACTATATATGTGATACGGAAATCTCTTTTAAAATTGTGCTTGGTAGAAATTTGGGCTGCATAATTCACAAATGTTTCTGAGCAACTAAAACACGGTTTAGTGTTTTTTCAATGCTATATTTTTCTCCTTTGCTATTCAGTCTACTTGTAAAATTACAGTATCTGTTTTATTTGTTTGTTTTCAGGAGTATGGTAAAGCAGAGATTACTATTATCAACCCTGCTCAGTTTCCTGATAAACTTTCAGTATCGGAATATTTGGAGCCAACTGTTCTTGGTACTATTGTAACACCTCATGAATATATTGGGAAAATAATTGCTTTGTGTCAGGTTGGTATACGGTTTTAGTTTTGTCATTTGCATTTTTAAACTCTTTATATCATATTTAAAGTGAAGACACTAGATAGTAGGATACTACATATTAGTACTTTGTATCTTTGACAGTAATTATTAAATGCTTTTGAACAAAAAAGGATTTCTGAACTACAAAATTCTTATACTAAAAGTTAGTGATGTAGCTCAGTGACAATAAAGGACATAGTCAAGCATCCTATACTAGACAAATTCCTAGCTATTTCTGTTTTCCTTAAAGAATGGAGTCTGCAGCAGGGGAATAAGATCTATTGTTTTTTAGAAGTATATTCATGAAATACAACTTCTGTCAATGCTTTACCGAGCCTTCATGTGTTTTCAGTACTTCACTGGAGTAAATTTATGATAGTGATAGCCGAACACATTTCCCCAAGTCTATTTGGAATACTTTTAACTAAAAATGTTTTCACTGCCATGCATATTGTCTTTATATAATTTCTTCACAATATTTTTCTTAGCTTTTAATGTTTCAGAATACATAATACAAAACAGTACAGTACTTGTACGTGAGTAAGGTGAAGTAGAAGATGTATTAAAAAGAATTCCTAAAATAAGAACACCGTCCTGGCAGGAAAGACGATGAGCCTGTGAGTCCTACTGTGTAATACTCCAATGTGTGTGAAAATCTAATTTCAGTGAGATTTTTATGGACAAATAATTATACATTTAAAAGGCAGCAGTAAGCAGAAGCTGTTAAGGATTTCAGAAATTCAACTTTTAGAGAGGATAGTCTTGAATCGCATGTCCAGTGAAGTTACAACCACTTCATTTATTATGGTGCTGCAATTTGTTCTGGGACCTCAGCAAACTACCAGTAAGAAAGTTACTTTGGGGCTTGAAGCACAGGAGTTCTCTTGTGTGACTGGATAGCTGTTTATTTTACTTTGCTTTGTATTTATTTGTAGAAAATTTCTGTCAAGGGGAACTGAAACAATTTTTACTTGTCTAGGATCGTAGAGCAGTCCAGAAGGATATGTTGTACATTGATGAACACAGGGTTATGCTAAAATACCTCTTTCCACTGAATGAAATTGTGGTGGATTTTTATGATGCTCTTAAGTCTCTGTCTTCTGGTTATGCAAGGTAACTACCTCCTCTGTTCCTCTTT